TGGCTTTAATGCATGTCATGAAGGGACAGAATAGAAGGATTTCTATTCTCTCACACTATTGCTGCCTGGGGGTCCAGCCTCCAGGTAACACAGGGCTTATATGGAAATCCACAGCATCAGTGCATACTAGACTTTTCTATCTGAGGGGGTGAGGGAAAAAGACACTTATACTCTCTTGGTAGTTTTCTTCTTTATTCTTCTCAGTTTTTCAGTTTTTCTTTCATTCATTCATTCTCTCTCTCTCTCTCTCTCTATATATATATATATATATATATATATGTATATATATATATATATATAAGTATAAGGATCATAACGAGATTACATTTTATTTTTAAAGTAAATGATTATGATGAATACAGGTAAAATCATGTTTTACATCTTCCTTACATGATTAAAAACAGAGTCACTCTGATAATCCACATAAAATATATCTAAGTAACTTTTTACAGATTAATAGAACATGGGCAAACAAGGAGCATTTTTTTCTCAACCAACGCTTTTATTGGTAGGCTAGATATTGCAGTTACAAAGAAAGAATCAATCACCTTATTATCTATCTTGAAAGGTAATTTTATAAGGAATCTTAAAGGACTCACAAACCTAAAATTTTATACATAAAAATCAGTCAGTCAGTTGAACTTTGAATCTTTAGGATATATACCCATTCATCAATAGTTTTTTTTTTTGTATCAGAAAACTGAGGTCAGGAATAGGTATAAGGAATTAATTATCACGTTTGATCATCAACCAGACCTGGCAAAGAAAGTATGTCAGCTAGCAACAATTGGGTTACTTTGCATTTTTGACCCTAGCCTAATGAATCAGAAAGCTCAGCTATGTGTCCTTGTGGAGTTTAGATTGTTTTCTGGAGTTATTTATCTTAAAACTATTAGTAAAGTATCTGGTTTAACCTGAAGTTATTTTGAAGCTTTGTTTCAGCTAATTGTGCACACTGAAATCCATGACTTCCCCTTCTTTGCATTAAGAAAATCAGAGTCAGCCTGACTCCTGGGGGACTCAATTGTTTTCCTTAACCATTAACTTGGGCTTTGATCTAATGCAGCTCTTTAGGGTTAACTCATAGGCCCTAGCAAAATAACATTTCCTTGTATTCATATTTATTCATCAAAACTGTATAAACTATCATTATTCTTATCAACTTGACAGTACAATTTACAGAAATCCAATCTTCATGAAAATTCATAGATAAAAATGCCCAGTAGAATGGCATGTTTCCATGAGATGAACACACTACGCCACAGGCGGTGGGGAATCTTCACACACCCATTCACACCATGCCAGATACCAGAGAAAGACAGTAGCAACAAGCATTTAAAGGCACAGCAGAAGCAAAAGACATTTCAGGGTCTGTGGTCTCAGAGCCTTGCCTAACTGAGATTGACCCATCAGAGAGTTTCCTACTGATGGGCTGACATCTTGAACTTCAATTGCCATCCACTGCCACTCTGACACAGCCACCAACATGACACCAAACCAGGTCTTCTTATCCCTTTGGGAGTCATGGGAAAAGCTATGGTACCACTGAGCTGTGGCCCTCATTCTTGGCCAGAGTACAGGAAGGGAGAAGTGACAGGTCAAACAACTTTTTATATAAATGAAGAATGAGAGGGTCTCCTGTGGGTCAGGGGAGACAGAGGAGGAGTTTACATAATGAAGAAGAACATCATCCTTGAACTATTCAGGGTGGGAATCCAGTGTTGGTATACTTCCTATTCTTTTAACTCTCATATGACCTGACTTGAGTCGGGGTTGAAAGCTGGCCAGCTGGTGGTGATGTAGGCAGGCAGGAATTAGTTATGGAGGTGTATAATAGGATGGTAATGAATCTCAGGGTGGACTTCAGGTCAGCATAGTGTCTTATAGAGCAGAAGCCCTTTTAACTTGGATTCCTACTGTGCTCTGTTTCCTAGGAATAGGCAAGGTCCTGAATGTCTTCATGGCTGGCTAGAGAAGTGTCTTGTATGAAATCTGAACTCTGGGTTCCAGAAAAAGACATTTTCTGGCTTTGAGAGGGTTTTAAATGGCAGCAAAAATTTACACTAAGTAAGAAATCGTGTCATTAAAACTGTACATCCAGGTGGCCAAGACAGAAATCAAGATGTCAGAATCCCTTTGGAGGGCACAACTTAAAACTAGCACAGGTATCAAGTGTGCATCATCATATCTTTAATCCCAGTAACTGGGAAGCAGAGACAAGCAGATCTCTTTGAGTCTAAGCCAGGGTGGTTTACAGAGAGAGCTCCAGGACAGCCATGGCTACATAGAGAGATTCTGCTTTTTGTTTGTTTGTTTAAAGAGAATAACACAAGCAGCTACAGAGCCATTTTGTGGAAAGGAGTAACTCAGAGATGAAGAGAGCAGGCCCTGGTGCAGGTGGTGGGAAGGAATGCCATTCCTCTAGAGATAGCTGCCTGATGAAGCATGGAAGTCCAGAGGCCAGCGGGCTACACTGAGTCAGGGCTTGCCCAGTGCAGCACAGCAGAGGGACAGGGTTCCTTCCTTGTCTTCTTTATTTTTCCCTGATGGTGTGAGATAACACCAAGCACTGGAATATTATTTGAGTGTATAACAAATGCAGTATTAGAATGTTGTTTATCTAGTATCAGAAAAAGAAGAGCTCCAAAGGTATTGACATGTATGTGGAGAAATTGGGGCTCTTCAAATTTAAGAAAAATTAAAATGATTTTTTAAGCTTTATATATATGAATGTTTTGTCTGCATGCATTTATGTGCAGCACATGCCCAGGGATGTCAGAAGTGGGCTTTGGATGCCTAGTAATTAGAATTATAGGTGGTTGTGAGCTGCTATGTGGATGCTGGGAATTGAATCCAGGTGTTCCTCAACAGACATGTGTACTCTTAACAGCTGAGCCATCTTTCTAGCCTCACAAACTGGGACTTTTACACAGCAGTGGGAATATGAAGAAGGAGAGCAGGTGTGCAGAACATTATAAAGATGCCTCACATAAAAAACAAAACAAAAGTAAAGGTATTTTATGACCCAGTAGCCATATGTCAGGGTATTTGTTCAAGTTCACTAAAATCAGAATCTTTTTTAATTTAAATATTATTTTTAATCATGCCCATTTATTGAATATAGAGAACAAATATGAAGTCCCTTTAAGTATATCATGTACTCATGTACTTTGATGATATTTGCTCTTCCATAGCCCCTCCCTTGACAGTCACCCTCTTTCTCACAATCTATAATATTTGTGTTTCTGTGTAAAATTGTGGGTTTCCAAATGAGAGCACTCGGTTTATAATTTGTCATATTGAGTTTGGTTTATTTCATTCAACATGATAATCTCTTTTTTTGCATAATTATGTCTTTATTTATTTGGGGTAAATAAGTAGAGGTGGGATTGGTGGGCCATGTATGGTTAACTTGATGGGAACACCAAAATGTTTCTCAAAGTGACTGTTGTATTTGGGTTTCCATCAGCAAAGATCTGCCTTCTTTCCACTACCTGGTATTTTCAGAGTAAGAACCCAGCCAGAGTTTTTCCAGGAGACATGCAGTGGTCTATCTTTGTGATTTCAATTTTTACTAATGAGGTTGAATGTTTTTCATTGTATCTTTGTCCTCTGAACCACTTTGATGGGTTTTATAAATCTTTGCCTTTTCTTTTTCCTCCTTGGTGACTGGGATGGAACCCAGGACTTTGTGCAAGCTAGGCAAGTCAACATGATAATCTTATGCACCCATTAACTAGCAAATGACATGGTTGAAATCTGAATCCTAGAGGGATATTGACACTCCCAAGTTTATGCCAATCCCATTAAGAATTGATAAGATGTAGCTGAAACTGAGATGCTCTTTGACAAGTAAATGGATAAAGAAAATATGACAGAAAGGCCATTGTTATGAATGATTCCACCCAAGTTATGTTTATAAGAGTCAGACAGCAAAGAGAATAGACCCTTGGTTTATGAGAGCTGAGGTGGAGGAACTAGGAAGATGGCAACCATTGGTTATTAATTTTCAATTACGCCAGCTAGAAACTCTCCATGGATCTGCTGTTCACCACAATGCTAGTGTTACTAATGCAGGATACCACGCTGAGGATTTGAGGGTCTATTGATTATGTATATATTTCATTCAGTAATTTATCAAATTTATAATATGATAGACAATATGGAATGATGATAGCACAGAGTTTATTAAAATTGATTGCTTCCAGGGACACAAATCATAAGTGAGCAGAAAGAAGAAAATAGTACAAAAAAATCTGGAGAAATTCAGAAGAAAATACAGTTGAGAAGACAAGTGGTTAAATAGAGTTATTGTTGGGGAAGAGTTTTGTTAAGTTATTTGGTGAGAGATCTAAAGATCTTAGTTCAGAATTTAACCTGAATCCAAACATTCACATGAGCCCCCAATGAAGATGGCACAGGATACATATTCTCTGGAGATGAAGATAATGAGGGTGAGGACTCCATCCTTCCTCAAAGCATTTTCCACACTTAAGTAGGAATTTACATTGGTTAGGTTTCCTGGTGAGAACATGAAGGTGGTCAGCAAAGGTAGAGATGATGCTTTGTGCAGCTCGGCCACATCAGCTCTCCCCAGAGCATGGCAGTGCAGATGTTCCTTAGTGGAGCTGTTCAGCAGCAGCAGGGCTGGCAGCAGGGTGTGCTGCAGCTGATGCTCACACAGGTTGGTTGAAAAGAGGTGGTCTTGCGGCAGGTGG